CACGTGGGGGCTTTCCTGAACCAAAGTGTCTCTGTCATACGTATGAGTGAACTTGACTAAGGCCTGACCCAGATGTGAAGGCTGAATATCAAGGAAGGTAACCCTTTTTTCTAGTTGCAAGAAGTCCCTGATCACCCCCCCTAACAGCAGCAAAATGCATAGCATTACCAGGGAGAGGATCGATGGTGACGATGGCGAGGTCTTCATGTCGAGCAGGAGGCCTCACACGTGCAACCGCGCGAATCATGAACTCGCGGTTGGGAACATCTTCATATTGGAGATTCTCAGGGATGAACGGGTTGGGATCAGCTCTTTGGTAAGCCATGATATCGAGCTCAGGAAGCTGATGAGCGTGAGAATGGGATGCAGATTGATGTTCGTGGAGTGGAGTGGGTTTCTGCTGGCTTCTATAGCAGGAGCAGGAGGACGACAAGAAGGCGAAGAGCCATGCAGTCTCCAAGAGGAGGGGTTGAGAGCCTCGTGGAGCACATCATTGTTATTAAGGGAGTCCTTTTCCGCTCCGGTTGAAACTTAAAATCGAGCAGCAGTCGGAGATATGTGTTATTCAGGTCCCCTAAAATTTTTGAGGGAATTTCTTGTGTGTCATTAAAAAAGATCGTAATGCTTTGTATGCCTCTGAAAAAGTTCAGCGGTCTTTAATGCCACTACTTCAACTTTTTTGTGCCCTCCATGCCACTGCCATCAGTTTGGGCTCTAACGCCGTCAAACTGCAGGTGTGAAAAGTCGAAAATACCCTTGTCTAAATATGTCATTAATTTTTTTTTGAACATCTTAACGACTTAAAATGAAAAAACTCAAAACTAGAAAGTTGTAGATCTCGTCGAGATCTATAATTTTCATATAAAATTATTTTCATTTAATTTCGCAAAAAAATATATGATTTGATATGATTAATATATCTTAGAAAAATCATATTCAGATAGTTGCCGCTGCCGCCGCCGTAGCCAGATCCGGCAAGTGTGGACAGAAAAGGACATCCCATAGAATATTATCCATCATGTCCAGCCTCAAGAATGAGATCAACTGCACCCACTCTGAAAAAGTTGATAAAAACCCCAGCTGCCCCAACAATACTCACATATCAGTCTTCAAAACGCATGACAACCCAAGGTGTAACTAAAAAAACCACCACTGAAAAGAGACTTCGCAGAACAAAATCATCAATTACTCCGGTAACTTAACTTATCTCTCATCTTAATATGATATTCAACTTCTAATTCAATCACTTTCTTGCGGCCATCAACTATTGCATCTAATCCTGCCTTGGATGCCGAATTGTTGTCCAGGCATTTGCACCGGCGTCCACCGACCTCTCGTCAGCTAATCCCCAAGAAGCCGATTACAATTGTAACCGATGCTTGGCGCGGGTGGCGTGACTCCGGCCTCGGCCTCGGCCCCGGCCTTGGCTCCGGCAGTTGTGGTGCAGTGCGGCAGCGGTCGGCCGGCGGACGGAGCAGGAGGGAGGAGATAGGCGCACGTGGGGCGGCGCGCCGCCGCTGCAGGCCGCAGGGATGCGAAGTGGAGTCCGCGGGGCGTCGGGCCGATGGAGCCTGGTGATTTTTTGGTCGGCCGACCGGCGACCGCTCAAATCCACTCTGTCATCGCGAGCGGCGGCAAACGGCAACGAAGACGACGAGAAGCTATCCATTGTTGCTATCCCCTTCACCGGCCCACCTGCGCCAACGCCGCCGCATATGCGTCCTCGCTAGATGGCTAGTTCCGCACTCGTCTTGTGTATTGGTTAACCCGTGATAGCTGTCTAACCCGTGGTTTCTAAACCGTAGAAAGAGAAGCTCTTACGGCTTGGGTTGATTTTACCCACAAACATGTACAGACCGACTCATATGCATGAGTTATTTTTTCTCAATAAAAAAATCACGATGAAAGATGTCCTTCATTTAGTGTTCAAAGTTATATTACCTTCTATACTTCGAAAAAGAGGGAATATTCACATTCTGTAGGAAAAATACGAGTAGCAAAAGTTATGTTTTAAAGACCTTGATGGATGGCATGGCTAGTGTTAGGTGGAGTCTCCCAAGAATTTGGTCATTTGGTGTATACATCTTCGTTCTAGAACAGTATCCCTCTTTGGTTTATTAGGTGTGCACTCTGCAAGATCCGACGTCGTTCTCCTGTATCAGTAGGACACAAAGTCGCAGTGACCTACTCCCTTCTTTCCTAAATGTTTTTTATTTTCATTTTTTGAGAAACAACTCTGCCTAAATATATATTAAAAAATATTAATATTTATGATACATAATTAGTATCATTGATAGATATTTGAATCTAGTTTTTTAATAAATTTATTTAGAGATAGAAATGTTACACGTATTTTTTATAAATCGAGTTAAAGTTATCGACACGTAAATCGTGGCGACTAATATTTAGGGATGGAGTGAGTATCGTTTAAGAATATGATACTAGGCCATGTTCAGTTCGGCCGATTCGGCGCCGCCAAAGCTACTATAGCTACAGTATCACTTTTGTTTTTATTTGATGCCGATTGTCTAATCATTGATTAATTAGGCTCAAAACGTTCGTCTCGTCAAAGTACAACCAAACTGTGCAATTAGTTTTTGATTTCGTCAACATTTAGTACTCTATGCATGTACCGTAAGTTTAATGTGATGAGAATCTTTTTACATAGTGCCAAAGTTGAGATTTTTATGGAACTAAACATGACCCTAATGTGGCTGAAAGACTGAAACGACCTAAAAACAGGAAAGGCAGAACTGTGTATCACACAATAGGCCAAGCCTCAGCTCGCTGCCAGCTACGTTTCTCACGTGCTGTAGCTACAGTATCATTTTGTTCAGTGTCGTTTTGTTTTTATTTGGTAATAATTGTTCAATGGTTGACTAATTAGACTCAAAATATTCGTCTCGCAAAGTACAACTAAACTGTACAATTAGTTTTTGATTTTGTCAACATTTAGTACTTCCTATCCCAAACATGGGCAAGGAGCCAAGGACGTGACCCGTTGGGGTGCTGTCGACGAATCCTATTCATTGCTCGTTCCATATTATAGAAAACAAAACAATTTCCGTTTATCATGAGTTAAGCCATTTTTAATTTAGCTCCTGGACACAAGCCCGTCAGAATCCTATTCCCGTACATGGGCAAGGACGTGACCCGTTTGGGCGCTGTCATGGAATCCATTTTATTGCTCGTTCCATATTGTGGAAAAAAAAACAAGCCATTTTTAACTATGGTCTTGTTTGCCGCAGCTTAACTTCAGCCGCGAATCCGTTTTTTTTAGTTTTAGTTTTATGAGCAGCTTTACCGGTAAAACTAAATTTATTTTGGTGAACCGTTTCACAAAACAGTTATGCAAGCTACCAATTTCAGCTTCACAACATCATCTTCTTATGTGAGAGCATGATTTAAGGAGTTTCATTGATGAAGCTATTTGCGAAACGGACTTGCGCTAGCATCCACACGGTGCCCGCACACGGAGCGAGCGAGCGCTTGGCGCTTCGGGCTTGCGAGCGACTGCACTAGCAGTAGGCCCGTGCCGCCCCGAACGTCGCCTGCGCCGCTAGTCACTTCCCACGAATCCCATGTGCATTACCCGATCTACTTTTAAAACATCCAGATGCAATAGTTGCAACTTACAAAAGAAGACATATAAAACACTTGAAACAAGCATATGAAACACTTACGAAAACACCTGAAAAATATTTGAAAACCATTACAAACATATACAACATCCAGATGAAACACTTGCAAACATATATATGAAACACCTGAAAACACTTGAAACATATGCTTGTAACATGTAGGTATATGCAACATCCAGATCTACTTTTCCAACATCGGATAAAACACTTGCAACATAGTCTAGAATAGATGAAACATTTGGAACATACACTTGAAACATATGTGTATAGCCATTACAACACGTGCAACATCCCGATCTACTTTTACAGCATCGATATACAACACTTCCAACATACCTCTGAAACACTTGAAACATACTCTTGCAACATATGAGAGAGAGAGAGAGGAGGAGGAGGAGGAGGAGGAGGTCATCAGCAGCGCAACGAGCAACGCGGGGTGCTCCAGGTAGTGCTCAAACTTATCGTCGATGTCCTCAGCCATGAGCATGCGGTTGATGTAGCCCAACATAATGTTCGAGAACGCCTCCGACTTGTCCGGCTGCCCCACGGAGGGCGGCGCAGTTGTTGTGGGCGGGCGAAACCACATTCAGATAGTTGCCGCCGCCGCCGCCCGCAGCCAAAGCAATCCCATCAGGCGACAGGAACAATAGCGACTTGTACCCGGTGAATGTGAGAGGAGGATGGGGATGGTTGAGCTCATTGTGCCGTTCGCCTGGTGAGGATAAGAGGAGTTTGAAGAAGAGACAGGGTAGGTGGCGGTGTTGTGGAGGCTGAGAAATGAGTGGATAAAAAAAATTAACTGAGGATTGAGTGGTTGTCTGTGCTGGAGTGCGTCCGATATTTTGGAGAGGGTCCGACGCTCGGATTACAGCGTTTCCGTTTGCGAAAGATATTTTGGAGAGGGTCCGACGCTCGGATTACGTCCTGTTCGCTTAGCTTATAAGCCGTATTTTTTCAGCCAACGAATAATATTTTTCTCTCACAACAAATCAGTCAACAGTACTTTCAGCCATGGCTTATCAGCCAAACCAACAAGGAAAAAAGGGCCGGTGGGAGCTTTTTTTTCTCCTCTAGTCATAGGCCTTTCTTAGCACGATTTTAGGAGCTCGGTATGCCAACTTGTTATCAGGCCTGGGCCTGGTGCCTCGTTTGGTAGCGCTGCACCTGAACCTGCTCAAGAAGTGCAGCTAAACGGGACGAAATCAACCGAGCTGTGGACTCTGAAACCGTTCCGAACTGTGCTCGGACGGGGACTAGGGGAGCAATTTGTTCATTTTTTTCAACAAAAAAAGGAAATGAAAATAGCAGGGTATACAAGTCACAACCAGAAATGACACAGTGCACGTCGTTTGCAGATGTTCAACCGAGGCTGGCCAACAGGTCGAGGTAAAACGTACGGAACGTCTCCATCTCGGCGCGCGGGAGCGCCAGCCCAACCTCGATGCCGCCGTCTCCGTCGCGGCCGCTCTCCGCCAGCGCCAGCGCGCCCGTGCGTTCCACCGATGCGATCTCCACCTTCGTCGGCCTGCCCCACGCCCCGCCGAAATCCGCGGCCGCGTAGACGCCCAGCTTCGGCGACCCGGCCACGGTCACCGCCCGCGCCGAAGCGTACTCCTGCACCCAGCGCACCCACCCCCGAGATCCCCGGAACACGCTCCCTACCTCGGCCAGCCCCTCGATCGCGCGCCATATGGCAGCCGAGGCGACCGCCGCGGTGAGTTCGCCCCGCTTTGCTTGGACGCGGCACAGACCGAGGCAGTTGCCGAAGTAGTTCGCCGGTACAGGCGGGCTCGCGCGGGGCTTGCACCCCGTCACGAACCCGAAGTGCGCGTCGGGTGCCGGAGCTCCTTCCAAGCCCCTGCCGCCGCCGCGCGCGTGCACGATGCCGGCCCACGCGGCGCCGCACGCCAGCGCGTACGGTGAGCACCGCGCCGAGGTCTCCGACTCGACGCGCCTCCCGAGCGCGCGGAGTTGCTTCTCGGTGAACCGGAACGTGGCGAGCACGACGCCAGGGCGGCGACTGAGGTCCCAGTCGTCGAGGCGCTCGTGGCCGCCGGCTGTACCGAGCGCTCGGTGGTCGCGCAGGAACGCCTCCCGGAGGCCGGCGTCGTCCCGCACGACGCCGCGGTCGAACAGCGGGGGCACGTCCATCGCCACCGCCCCGTTGCGCTCGGGGCCGCGGCGGTGGGCGGCGGTCCACGTGCTGAGGAAGTGCGCGTAGCTGGAGCCGTCAGCCACGGCGTGGTGCACCGTCGTGCCGATGCAAATGCCGGCGCGTGGGAACACCGTAATCTGGACGGCGAGGACGCCCTGTTGGGACCGAGACCCGCCGTGTTTTGGCAGCGCGGGGAGCAGCGGACGTATCCTCGTGGTGTCGCGGGCGTTGTCGCCGGCGAGGTCTCGGAAGTCGTCGCTGCCGACGGCCACGGTTAGCGGGACGGAGTCGCCGTCGGAGAATACTACCTCCGGCGGCGCCACGCCCTCGTTGGCCAACTCGCACGTCAACTTCCCCGCCAACGGATAGAAGTGGTGCAGCGCGGCGGCGAGGGACCTCCTAAACCGTGGCAGCTCGCCGAGCGTGAAGTCCGAGACGTCGAGGAGGTCGGCGTTGTGGTAGAAGAAGAGACGCTGCACGGGCGGGATGGCCCAGAAGACGAGGTCGAAGAAGGTGAGCGGCAGCGCCCGTGGCTGCCCTGCCGCCGGTGCCGGCGACGGCGTGACGTGAAACTGGTCCAGGATAGTCACGGGGTGAAGAAGTGGTGTAGGTGCCATCGGTGTCGTGGCTGACAGACTCTTGGCTCTGCAATGGTGTTTTGCTCTGGCTCTGTTGTCTGTGCCTCTCTGTCCCAGTGGCCGATTACTCTGAAATCACATGTGAGCACTCAGATGCAGCTGATAACTCGCCAATCGCCATGGGGCACACATACACCCAATCCATGGGCCATGGGGCAAGCGGCCACGGCCTATTAAAACGCAGCACCCCGTGCAGCTGATAAGTCGCACTGGCTATTCTATTCATAGGCTACCATTGAGCAGTAGCAAAGCGCTTCGGCTTATCTCCCATCCGTACGCAGGCGCCGCCGACGGTGAAAATGTCGTCGCCGAACCTCGCGGGCGCCGGCGCGGAGCCGTTCCGTGTGTTCGTGGGGTACGACTCCCGCGAGGACATGGCATACCGCGTGTGCCGGCGCTCCCTTCTGCGCCGCTCGTCCATCCCGCTGGAGATCACCCCGATCGTGCAGCAGGAGCTCCGCGAGGCGGGGCTCTACTGGCGGGAGCGCGGGCCGACGGAGAGCACCGAGTTCTCCTTCACCCGCTTCCTGACGCCGTACCTGGCGGGGTACCGCGGGTGGGCGCTCTTCGTGGACTGCGACTTCCTCTTCGTGGCCGACGTGGCGGCGCTGGCGCGGCTCGCCGCCGACGCCGATCCGCGGCACGCGGTGCTGTGCGTGCACCACGACTACAAGCCCACGGAGGCCACCAAGATGGACGGCGCCGTGCAGACGTCGTACCCGCGCAAGAACTGGTCCTCCATGGTGCTCTTCGACTGCGGCCACCCCAAGAACCGCGCCGCGCTCACGCCAGAGGCCGTCAGCACGCGCAGCGGCGCGTACCTGCACCGCTTCATGTGGCTCGACGACGACGAGGTCGGCGAGGTGCCGTTCGTGTGGAACTTCCTCGTGGGCCACAACCGCGTCGACCCCGCCGACGAGGCCGGGACGGCGCCGCGCGCGATACACTACACGTCCGGGGGACCGTGGTTCGAGAGGTACAGGGACTGCGAGTTCGCGGACCTCTGGGTCCAGGAGCGCGCCGCCTACGAGGCCGAAGAGGCCGACAAGGACGTGGATGGATCCATACAAGCGCCACCCGCCGTGGTGTCGGTGGAGGTGGATGCATGAGATTGAGACGACGTACCATCTCCCTGCTGCCCGCGCTAGACAGGGTGGCGTATGGATTTACTCGTATCGTATCCTCAGCTCCCGCTTCGTTGTGTGCTGTTTTCGTGTATGTGGATGGATATATATGTGTTGCGTGCATGGAAGAAGTAGTACCGGTACCACATGTCCATGTAACGTCGTCATGTTGGTGAGCTGTCGATGTTAGAATAAAGACTCGTTCGTTGCATGCCCAGCCACAACCTGGCCATCTTGAAGAGAGGTGACAACTGAGAAAGAGATGAGAGCCAACGCAAGTTTTTTTTTTTTAGGAATGAGAGCCAGCGCAAGTTCATTTCATTGATCTCAGTTGTATATAATATACAACCACATACCCTACTCTATAGGATCTACATGCTCCCTGGTCCCTGGAGACTAGGAACGTGAGCAACTGTATGCAACGGTTCCTAACATATCTGTTGTGAGGGGAAAAAAGCTGTCAGCTGCACATGCGGCATGGACCTCTGATGCAGAAAGTAGAGCATTCATGCAGCTACTAGCTTTTTTAGAGTTTAGACCAAACATCGGATCAGTAACGGGGTGTTTAGTTCCCATCAAATTTCAAACTTTGGCACTATGTAAAAAGAAGATTCTCCGTTACATCAAACTTGCGGTACATGCATAGAGTACTAAATGTTGACAAAATCAAAAACTAATTGCACAGTTTGGTTGTACTTTGCGAGACAAATGTTTTGAGCCTAATTAGTCAACGATTGAACAATTATTACCCAACATAAACAAATGATACTTGTCGGTGTTTCGGACCAGGGGGTCCTCAACCAACTAGTGAATTTGTTCTGCGTGCTCCCGATCCGGATGGTGCTGCAAAGAGACACAAGGTTTATACTGGTTGAGACAATCGAAGCCCTACTTCCAGTCTGAGAGATCGATCTTGTATTCCTTGCACCGAGGTGCTCGTAGTAGGGGGTTACAAGCTAAAGGAGAGAAGGAGCTGGTCCTAGGTCTCGGCAGGGTGCCGTGCGGGCCGCTTGAGACGTTGCTCTCTGGCGGCAGGAGTGTGCGTGTGTGTTACAAGGTGTCCCCCGTCCCCCCTAAAACAACCCAGGTCCTCTCCTTTTATAGCATGAAGGGAGGACTTGGGCGGTACATGAGCTGATTATACGGCGTCGTGTGAACAGAGGCGGCGTGTCTGGGCCCTGTAGCCTGTTCCTGTGGCGGCGTGGCCGTCGGAGTGGTCCATCCTTGGAGTACTGGGGCGGCGTGGTCATCCCATCAGTCCTGTCGTCGTCGTGGGAGCCCCGGAATGCCTCGGAGTGGATCGGCGGTGACGTGCAAGCCACGTGGTACGGACTGCAATTTGCTTGCGATCTGCGAGGCTTGGTCGATCTTAGGCCGGCACTGCGATGGGGGGTCTCTGCAGCACGAACCCCAAGATCGCCGAGGCCTCGGTGTCTGATGCTGCGAGGCCTTGAGCGGGCGGCCGATCATGGGTACAGCGTTTGGACCAAAGTGGTCGGTAATCCCGTCGTACCCTTTCCCGGTCGGTATGGTGCTTTGGTCGTGGACACGATGGTAGGATCTGAGTGGTAGGACACGGTGGTAGGACACGATGGCTGTCCCACGCATAGATAGCCGATGCGACCTCGGGTCGCGTCGGCCATCTGTGGCGTTGAGCCACCGTCCATTGAGATTGCGGGAGTGGTTGAAGCATTAATGAGACATGACGAGTTGTTGGGAGGTCGGTAGGGGCGAGGCGGCGGGCGGACGTGGACAGGACGAGCCGGCCTCGGCGACACGGAGAATGAGGCCCTCGCGATCACGGAGAATGAGGGCCTCTGCCGAGGCCTTCCCTGGATAGCCTCGGGCGAGGCGGAGGCGGCGTCCCCGCCGAGGCTTGGCGCCCCTGCCGGGGGCCTACTGGGGAGCCTCGCGAGGCGGAGTTCGCTCTGAGACCTCTGCTTTCGAGGCTTGAGGCGAGGTGGAGGAGGGCTCGGTCATGGCGGTGAGGGGCCCCTGGCTTACCTTCTAGCTTTGTTTTGATGTTTGCTTGGGGTACCCCGTCTCTAAGGTACCAGACAAGTAGCCCCCGAGCCTCGGGGTGAGTGCGTGCACTTTCCACGAGGGTTCGTCGAGGCTGGGTTTATGCCTGCTCCGTAGGAATTGGTTTGTTTTTCGAGGTTCCGGTGGGTGGTGTGGCCTCCTGCCGGGTATCCGAGCCCCTGGAGGGTGAAGTTACACCTCGGGGGCTTCTCTACTGGCGTTTGAGTGATCAGTTCTTATTGCATTTGCCGAGCCCATAAGCGCAAGTTCGGGTTGCGGGGTCTCGACGAGGTTGCAAAAGAGGCCCTCTAGCCTCGCATGGGCGAGAGGTTCGTCAGGTCCCCGACGCGTTGGGTATGTCCTCACGCTTCCTTTCACTCGAAAGGAGGGGTGGAATGTGCCATGCTACCCTCGATGGCGCGGCGTGGACACTTTCGGTGAGTGTTATCGGGTAGTCCGAGTGGAGGCCCGAGCCCCATTCGCTAGGGGACGGCTAGCGGTCCGAGACGCACTCAAAAGTACCGGAGGATTTTCTCTAGTGGGTGCCAAGGCCGTTCATTTGGGCCTCGGTGGCTCAGTGCCTCCCTACGGTGGGATCCCATTCGGATACTTTCTGTCGGTCTCGGACACGACTTAGGACGCCCCGAGCGATCGCTTTCGTTCGGGCTGGGCCATTCGCAGAGCTCGCCCAAGTCATCCCCGACTCTGTTGCCACTGGGCGGTACTGTCGAAACCTCTTGAGGCCCGACCTTGAACCCCTGGACCGTAACTTGGGCTCGGTGTCCTTTATCGTGTTTTTGTCTTGGTTTTTGGTGCAAGAGGAGCCCCGAGCCTCCTTTGGAGCAAGAGGACGGTCGGGGTCTCGACTTTTTCATTCGCCCCTCACATATCCTTTTCGTTCGGACGGAGGTTCGTTTGCGAGCCCATTACGGTCTCGGCAAGATCGTGAGGAGAGCCCCTAGCCTCTGCAAGCAGAGCGAGAGGGCTGTCGGGAGTTCCCCGACTTTTATACGCCCCTCGCGTGTGAGGGTTTGTTTGTCGAGCCCATTCTGGTCTCGGCAAGGTCGCAGAAGAGCCCCTAGCCTCTGCTTGTGAGCGCGAGAGGCCGTCGGGAGTTCCCGACTTTTTACTCGCCCCTGGCGTGAGGGTTTATTTGCCGAGCCCCCTTTGGGGCGCGAGCCCGGTCGTGGGGTCTCGGCATATTTGCGGGAGGAGCCCCTAGCCTGCTGCATAGGGCGAGAAGGCCGTCGGGGGGTCCCCTGACTTTTTATGCGACCCTCGTGCTTCCTTTTTCGCTCGAAAGGAGGGTGGAATGTGCCTCGCTACCCTCGATGGGCACGCAGCGGTGGCACTTCCGGTGATTTGTTATCGGGTAGTCCGAGTGGAGGCCCGAACCCGTTCGCTAGGGGACGGCTAGCGGTCCGAGACACACTCCAAGAGTACCGGAGGATTTCTCTAGTGGGTGCCGAGGCCGTTCGTTGGGCCTCGGTGGCTCGGTGCCTCCCCCACGGTGGGATCCCATTCGGATACTTTTCTCACGGTCTCGGACACGACTTTGGGCGTCCCAAGCGTTTCGCTCGCTTGGGTCTCGGCCCCGAATAGGCTCGCCTGCGATCGCCCCGACTCTGTTATCCTAGGGCAATTTGTCGAAACCCTTTGGGGTCCAACCTTGAACCCTGGATCATAATAGGCTCAGAGCCGGTTCCTTCCTATGAAAGGAACAGGCCGCGGAAATATTTTCCCTATTGGCTCATTGCGAGTGGCGCGCCTTTTGAGCGATTTTATTAGGAGTCGAAAGCGGTTTTCGCTGCCGTAGTGGCGGCGTGGCGTGGTGGATGGGACGTAACCGTCCTCGCATTTAATGCGGGAGGCGACGGGCGCGTGGGCGGTGAAATCGGCTCGTGGTTAACCGCGCCCGATTGGGAAATCTCCCCGATTTCATCGCCCGCTCGTTTCGCCTCCTCCCTGCATAAATACCCGGGGAGTTTTGCCCCTCCTCGTCTTACCTTGCCTGCATCAGCGCCGCCCCCGCCGAGCCGTCGCTAGAGCAGCGAGTGCCGAGAAGGAGAGGAGGAAGAGCGAGCCTGATTCCCCCAGCGCACCCATGGCCGGTGATATCGTTGTCATCGAGGTGGACCCCTAGGATCCGTCGGACGTCACCGAGGAGATGCTCCAGTCGCTTGTCGACGGTGGGCTCCTCCGCCCGGTGACTGACTCCACCAGGCCAAAATGGATTGCTCCGTACGGCGAGACGGAGCCGAGGCCTCGCGATGGCTATGTCGTAAGCTTCGTCTCCTTCCACGAGCGTGGCCTCGGCGTCCCGGCGGACCGGTTCATGTGGGCGCTTATGCACTACTACGGCGTGAAGCTCCACAATTTTAATCCCAACTCCGTTGCTCAGGCGGCTATCTTTGTTGCCGTCTACGAGGGGTATTTAGGGATCGCGCCCCATTGGGAGTTGTGGCTCCATCTATTTCGGGCGGGGCATACTACAAAGCCATCGGGCACGTCGGGGAAGAGGAAGGCGACGAGGGCCGGAGGCTGCACTCTCAAGTGCGTCGGGACCGCTGCCCCTACATCCGGCCCAACTCACGTCCTCCAACCGCCGATGGTACACAAGTTGGTTTTATCTCCGTAACGACGACGGAGGGCTTCCTACACACCGGGCGGATTGTGGGAGTTGCCCGGAGAAGTGGAAGTGGGCGTCCCGAAGGTCGACCAGCCCAAGTGGAGCCGCTGGAGGGGCTGGCGAGGCTGGGGCCACGGCAGCCACCGCTGGGTGTGGTTGTGGCCGCGTTCCACCGGGCCGGGAGGGTCTTGCCGTGATGGCTCGGTGGCGTGGCTGTTCGAGATGAGGCGGGTGAGCCCATTGAGGGCACCGGATGTCCTCTTCCGCCCTTTCCGAGGAGGAGATTCTTCGTCGGGTGGGGGAGAGGTAGAGAGGCGAAGGTGAGGGGCGGCAA